TCTCCTTCTTTCTCCCTGCCCCACCTCCACTTGTGCTCTGGTCTCTCTCTCTCTCTCTCAATCAAAAATAAATAAATAAACATTACAAATATATATTTAAATAAAACAAGGCCTCCCCGCAGAGGCTAGAGAAGTTAAAATCTTCCAGATGGCTTGGGAACCCCAGTTGTCTGCAGGGCTTACAGATACACCCCCAGGTTGTTCTGCTGAACGCACACATGCGGCCTCTTTCAATGAAAAAGCATCAAGACTGTGCGACAGAGTGCTGAAGTCAGTCGCTGAATTCTCAGCCCTAAAACTGGGTTAGTCTCCGGCAATCTCCACCACTAACAAAGTGCCAAATCCCCAGAGCTTCAGTTTCTACCTTTGTAAAACAGGATTAATAATTCCGTAATTCCGACCTGTCCTGCAGCAGCCCTGCCCGCTGTGACATGAAGCATGAATAAATGGAAAGCATTAGTCACGGAGGGAGCTTGGGCCACATCCTAGAATCCAGTGGGGGAAATTCACTAAGAATACTCCTGGAGGCGACTCTACTTCCCCCACGACCGCACCTGTTATACCAAAGCAAAGAAAGAAAGAGCAAGAGAGGGTCATAAACACCGCATTTTTTCGTCCTCATTTACAAAGGTCCACGTTCACCGCCCCCCTTCCGGGTGCGGTCTGGAGGATAAGGTAGGAATGGGCCGTGGGACCACAGGGCTCCCAAGGGTCAATGTAGCAAGCGGTAATCCTTCTTGAAAAGAATGAAATACAGGGTCCTCACAGGTGGTGCAAATACACATTATCCAGTGATATTTCGTCCTGGCAGCAATTAGTCAATGGGTTGCCAGCTATCGGGTGTCAGGGGAGCCCCCACTTTTACTTTTGCCCTGGGCCCCATAATTTGTAAATCCGGTGCTGGCATTTCAGTAAAAATACCCAGAAGGAGTTCTTTGGGTGCTAGATGCAACACAGAAAAGTATATTAAAGATATTCAGAAAACAATGACTTTTCCAATAGGTTTTTAATGCCAAACATATGTACTCCTCACTGAAATTCGAGTGCATAGCAGATTCTGAGATTTCACTTCAACTACCCCAGCTGGCATCCGACACATTCCAAAATGTTGCCTCCACTGGATACGTCTATTTTTAATCCCTTCAGATGCCTTTCTTTTTTGGCAAATTGGGAGGAAGAGAGTGCCTGTCGCTCCACGTCTTTCCGTTCATATTTTGCATAAATCAACCAGGAATTAAGAATTAAACAATCACTTCATATCTCAGTTGTCAAATATTTCACTGTTGGGAGACGTATTTGCATATCTGAAAACATGTCGGCCTCTCGGTGTGTTCGGGCTGTGGAGAATAGAAAGAAAACTCTTTGGGATACCGACGAGCACAACAGCCAGAAAGAGATTTGGGGCAAGGTGGTCAAAGAAGGTGGTAGGTCCACGTAACAAGATGAGGGGGACGCCCTGACCTCCCTGGTTATTGCCGTCCACACTGACCTACATCAGGTTCCCCAGGAGCAGACCCAGAACAGGAGTTTGGATAGAGGCGGTTTACTTGGGGGGCCATCCAAGCAGTACCTCAAGGGGGTGGGGAAGCGAAACAGGGAAAGGGAAGAAGCCAACACTGGGTCATCCATGAACAGGCATCTACCACAGGCAAGTCAGTCCTGAAGGAGACCTCTGGGGAATATAGAGCACACTCCAGAGATGTCCTACCTACCTGAGGGGCGAGCGGGTGAGGTATTAACCACAAACTCCTGCTCATCACCCCTTTCCATCGACTCCTGTGGGTTTTAACTTCTTGCACATCCAAGGCTGCTCGGTTCAGAGAGAAAACCGACCTCTGGCCCTGTGGTGCGCACTGAGGCACCCCAGGGTGCCACAGAAAATCCATAGCAGAGGATAGGGATATCTTAAATATTTGAGGGAAACGATGTAACATCTATCCAACACTGTATGAGCTAATTTGAGGTAACTCCGTGGTATGGGTAGTTTGGGGACCTCCTCCCTCCCTCAAATTCATATGTTAAAGTCTTAACCCCTAGTAGCTCAGAATGTGACTTTATTTAGTTGAATCCCTGTAGTGCTGGGGAGCTCACTCACTCCTTATGGAACATACCCCTTCATAAACAGAAAAGGGAAACAGCATGTCTCAAGCCTGTATGGGGTACTAGGCTCTATACATTGCATTATTGCACTTAGTGATCCCAACTGTATGAGGTGGGCATAACCATCACTATTTATATATGCGGTGAAGCTGAGGCTAGGAGAGGTAAAATCCCTTGACCAGGATCTCATCACCAGTCCATGGCAGAGCCGAGATTTGAACACACGTCTTTTCAATTCCAGAGCCATTTCTACTTCCAGGTGTCACATAGCTCTGACAGGTGGCCATTAACACCAAAAGAAAGGAGAGCTGACCCTTAACTGAGCACTTCCTTTCTGCTAGGCATGGTGCTTCACATGGACAATCCATTTGGTTTTCATCACAGATTACCTCTGAGGCTGCTCAATGCCCAAATCAGTCCGGCTCTAGAGTTTATGCCTCTTAAAATGGTTCTCTGATGTGTATTTCCTCATATTGAGCCCAAACCTCTTCCTACTCTTTGGACTCAGACAGAACTTGTTGAGTCCTTCTCCAGCGAGCCTGCCCCTCCAAGCTGGATGAACATTTTCCATCCCATTTTGCTTTCTCATCCCATCTCATCCCCAGCCCATCTACTGAATACAATTCAGTTTATCTGCATCTTTGTTTCCGTTTTTATGTTTATGTATGCATTTTTGAGAGAGAGAGAGAGAGAGATCATGAGCGGGAAAGGGGAAGAGGGAGAGGGAAACAGAGAATCCCAAGCAGGCTCCACACTGTCAGTGCAGAGCCCGACGTAGGGCTCAGTCTCATGAACCTAGAGATATGACCTGAGCCCCAATCAGGAGTCGGCCGCTGAACTGACTGAGCCACCGAGGCATCCCTAGTTTGTCTGCATCTTTCTGAAAGCACTTTCAGATTGCTTAATGCTGCCCACAACGGAAGCAGGAAGACCAAAAGTTCCCGTGAAAGGGAAGGTCAGACTCAGTCTTCCTACAATGGCCAGAAAATAATGACTTCCAAGTATCAGCATCTAGAGCTGTGGGGCGGGGCACTGTGTATTGAATAGAGGGTCATCTGGCAGAGGACTCCTTCTAAAGAGAAGCTGAGGTAGGGGCGCTTGGGTGGCTCAGCCGGTTAAGCGTCCAACTCGGCTCAGGTCATGATCTCGAGGTTTGTGAGTTCGAGCCCCGAGTCAGGCTCTGTGCTGACAGCTCAGACCCTGGAGCCTGCCTCAGATTCTGTGTCTCCCTCTCTCTCTGCCCCTCCCCCACTCACACACTCTCTCTCCTTCAAAAATAAATAAACATTAAAAAATTTTTTTAAAAAGAGAGAAACTGAGGTCATTATCGTGTGACATCATAACCTGCACAAGCTCAAGGTTTAGAGATAAAACATGAATTAGATTGATTTCACGTGAAATAATGCCAAGGATAAAGCATGCAAATCAGAAATTGTGCAATAAATCTTCTGCAAGCTGAGAACCTACCCCATGGGGTTATTGGAAGAATTAAATAAATTAATGTATGGAAAGTGCTTAGCGGAGCACCTGGCACCAGGCGAATTATCGATAAATATTAGTATTAATACCAGCTGTGAAATGAACACTACATGTAAAAATGAGTAATTCTTTCTGGGGATGGGATGTCAGGAAATAATCATAATAGTTGCCACTTGACTAGGATTCCTCACATGCTCAGCCTTTATATACATTATCTGTTTTAATCCTTGGCAATCTGTACAAAAGTGATTCTTCCCATTTTAAAGATATGGAAGCCAAGGATCAGCAGAGTTTAGGGATCGTATCCTGGGTCATGCAGCTAAGTGGTTAAGAGCTTGGGTTTTAGACTCAAACAAGTCTCGCTTTTGAATTCCAGCTCAGCCACTTTGTGTGACCTGAAGCATGTCATTCAAGTTCTCTGAGCCTCAGCTTCCTAGTCCATTAAATAAGGTAATAAAATACTTTCCTTAAAGATGTGCTGCAGACAATGAGCCAATATATGTAAAACAGAGCAATGTCTAGCACATTCCAAACACTCCTTAGATGTATACATGTGTGTGTGCGTGTATGTATATATGTGGGGGCTTTGAAGTATGAGTAGGAGTGAGTCAGGTGGAAAGAGGAAGGAAATATGCTTCTCAAGGTAAAGTAACTGTGGGGCTAAAGACACACTGAGGTACCCAACCCAAGGCACAAGAAATCACTAGTGGGTTACTGGCAGGACAGAGCAGAGTTTAGAAGGAAGGAGTCTCTTGTAGTTAGACGGAGAGAAAGGGTTAAGGTCCTCAGACCTAAGAGGAGAAACCAGAGTTGGGAGAATGGGGCTCCCTGGCCAGTCTCCAGCTCCCAGCCGTCTTCCCTGCAACTCCTGAGTTCGCGACCCCGCCCCCACCAATCCCAACCAATGAGGAAGTCCTCCACGGCGTCTCGTTGCCAGGCAACCGAGTTGGCCCCGGCCTTGCAGTTAGCCGATTTTCTCTCCCTAGCGTTGGGAACCTGAGTCTCACACTGGGGCCGCCTTAAGATAGGGATCCGGGGGCCCCCCTGTGGGCTCCCTTCAGACTTTATCAGTGGAGTTTTATTTTTTTTACTTCGTATTTTATTTTCGTTTATAAGAGAGAAAGATATCCCCTTCCAAAGAGAGGGAACGCTCATGAAAGTTTGTGACTTTCTAAGAAGTGAATAATTCCAAGCTTGCCTGATTCTACCCAGTCTGGACCTCCTTATCCTGTTTATGGGAAACCCAGATGACCTGCCTCCTTACTCCTGGATCAGAAGCCTCTTTGGAGTCTGTGTAATTGGCATTGGAAATCAGGGAGAAATTGCTGGAGCCTCTCACACCAGTGGCTGCTGAAGTAGAAGATTCGGGGGGGGGGGACCTCTCTTTAGGGGGCACAGGCCACACCTGAGGGATTTCCAAGATGACCAAAATACCAGCCACCAAGAAGGTGCAAAGCGTCCCCAACGCAGGGGCCCTCTGGCCCTTTTATGCCTCAGAACATCTAATACAGGTAGGTCTCCCCTCTCTGCCAAAACCAATCATGTTTTCAAGACCAAGTGATATAGGAATTAGCCTTCAGGCCAACAAGAGACAGGGGAAGAGAGGAGTCATGGTGTAATTAAATTGTCGAGACACATCCCTGTTGCTATCAATGGTTGGTTTCTCGTAAAGAATGAAAACGCCAGCTAGAACACTGAGCTGGGCCATCCTATTAGCCAGTAATTCCAAAATGATAGAATAAATCAGCAGTGACACTGTAGAACATCAGAAAAAAATTAAGATGAATTGTAGGTTTGCCATTGCAGAAATTATTTTCAGAGATCCACTGGGCTCGGGGTACGTGCACATCCTCTCTCTTATGGAAAGAATGCGAAGTCAAACTTTCGGTTTTGAAGCTTGACTTTGCTACTCGCAAACTGTTGACATAAGATAAGTTGCTTAGCATCCCTGAGCCTTTATTTCCTCGTGTCTGCAAAGTGACAACAGGAATTTCAACTAGGCAGAAACAGTGTTAAGACTAAGGAGATGTGGAAATTGGTTAACATGATCCAAACACTTGATAATGTGTTTATGTGACATGAAATACTGCTGTTGATTTGAAAAAAAATCATGAATATGTATGTAATGGCCACAGTCAAGTGTTTCTGTTTTCAAAGGATCATAACTGGGTAGGCCAGTTCTGTCTTTGGTAACTGTGTCTTTGTTATTGTATCTGCAAACCTGTATATCACCACTGATTGACTGAGATAGGTGAACAGTGGGAGAGGGGGTCACAGGCAACCCCAGCCCACTGTGGGGTATCTTATGGCTCAGAACCCTGCCCCAGGAAGGAGGGCCTGGGGAGAAGTCAGTGCACAAAGGAGAGCTTAAAACTCACCCATGGTTATGTGGTGGCCCAAAGTGCTCCTGAGCTCCTACCTTCCAAGAATTACCACATCTGTATGCACCCCCCATTGTTCTGCTCTCTCAGTGAGCTCACTCTGAAAGATGCAGTTCTCATCTATCTCCTTTCATCTCAAAAGGCTACACAGAAGTCCCATCCAGAGCAGTCTTCTCGGGGACTGAACTTCCTTAGCAGGGGCCGGGAGAGGGGGTGAGGAGAATGAGTGAGGTGGACTTTTCAGAAGTAGAGGGGGTGTGGGCAGTGGACCCAAACAGCCTGGGTTTGAGCCCTGGATCTGCCTCTTAGCAGCCCTGTGGACCCTGGGCAACTTGCAGAACATCTCTGCTTCAGTGTTACCATCTGTCAGAGGCGGGTATGGTTATGCCTTCTCATGAGATCGCTGGTGAGCATTAAATGATCTATCTGAAGCTCCTAGAACAGTTCTTGACACACAGTGAACACTCCTTAGAACTTAGTTATATTGTTATTTCATTCATTTGGCAAACATTTATTGAACCTGTTATGTGCTAACCACCTGCTCTTGTAACAAATGGGACTTGCCTTTAAAAATTTCATAATCTATAGTGTGTATGTTTGGGATGGAAAGTGGAAGATAAGAAACAGATAATTGTAATGCAAAGTGAAAAGCATCATTGGGTGTTGTGAGAATGCAGAGGACAGCTAACTCGGACGTGTGTGTGTGTGTGTGTGTGTGTGTGTGCGCGCGCACGTGTGTGTCAGATTTGCGGAGGGAAGAACCCATGTATCCAAGTAAATGCAGTAGAGGTTTCCATCTTGGGACAGAGAGATGAGAAAAGTAGAGGGAGGTACAGAGGTTGGAATGACCATGTCTTGGAAGAGGGTTGGTGGAACCAGGAAGGTCAAGAAAAGGGAAGAAGGTTTCCAGGGAACTGTTGGGTAAACTAAGACTTTAGGCACAAAAGCTTCATTGAAATCCCGCTGCCCCTGCCCCACTTTCTAGGAAATAATGAAGACTCTAGGGTGTCACTGGCTCACATCTGAATTATCATACTTGTAGAAATTGCAACATTTTAGAGCTACCGTAAAGCATTGGTTACCCTAAGTGAGGTTAACTAGAATGTGCCAAGCCACAAAGAAAATATGTACAAATTGGGATCAACTTATGGTGCCAAACCCAATCAAACCAATAATAATTGCAGTGACGTTAATAACAATGGTAATAGTCAGCACGTCTTGAGTATTTATCATGTGCCAGGTCCTAAGCTAGATCTTTCAGAACCATCTACAACACATCAGGGTGAACTGTTACCTCCTCACAAGATAGATGGCAACGTGGAAGCCCAGGGAAAATAGGTCCCTTATCCAAGGACACTGGCCAGCAGGGAACAGATTTGAACTTGGATCTTTCTCCAGGGTTCCAGCGCTCCCCGCCTCCCCACGCTAATCAGGCAGTGATAGAGGTTAGCATACACCACAAGGGTATACAAAATGAAGGTGTAAGTGTGGCCCCTGGCTTCAGATAACTTTCGGGTTTATTTGGGGGGCAGAGGGTGACATATAGACAAAGAATAACAAATGCCAGGCAGCCAGGTAAGTGTCTAATGAGGAGTGATTGAGGAAGGATCTGGTTTCTCAGAGGAGAAGGATGAGGCCACACTGGGCTGCATGGTAATACGTAATACCACTGACTACGGGTCCACCATGCTCTAGTGTAATGACATGCAGAGACCTCCCCCCCGAAAAGGGTCCCGAAGCCCTCCGAAGCTAGGTATTTTCCTTCTCACAGAATGGAAGTTGCTATGTCATAACTAATGTTACAGTGACACCCTGCCTCGCCCAGTGTCTTCCTGTAGTTTTTAAAAATATGAATAATATATGCAAATCCTCTGCTTGAATGGCTTTTGTTGAGGAAACCTTGTAGCTCGCCCTTATGTGGGGCTCCCTAATCTTTTAGGGAGTTCCTTGTCCCTTTGTTTTTCAAGGAAGCAGAAGAGAAGTTTAATGGGATTAGCCATGGGAAGGGAGGGAGCAGGGCATGTGCAGATTACCGTGGACATACATTTTCTTCCCTGAAAGGGAGCTAAAAGAAGAAGGGCACTTAGCACGCACCCCTCCACGTTGCAGAATGGAAATGCAGAAATGGCATTTTGGCAAAAACGATTAAGTTGTGGAATCCTTTAGACAAGCTCTGTCTCTTGGTGCCTGAAGTGTCTACCTCGCTGAGATTAAACACCCAGCGGGAAAAGAAGGATCCCTAATTTGGGCAGATCCTGAAACAGCCAGTAATCATCCTGGGCACTCTACTCCTATCATAGCTTAGTGACTTAAAGAGACGTTTCTTCAGCAAACAACATGAGCTCAAACCCCGACTTTGCCACTTACCAGTTGTGTGGCCTTGAACAAATCAGTTTTCTGAGCCTCGGTTTCACGGGGATGTCGCATTTTATCTAATCTAAGACGCCTTCCATTTCAAGAGGTGTCGTAATTTTGTTTTGTGCCACTAAGAAAGAAAACTCTACTGATTAAACTATAACCTACTTTCCATTATAAGATGTGCCCCAGTTTCAGAGTTGCTAAAATGTGAAAATAAAATGTGCATCTCAGAATAGATGAAACAGCTAAAAATGCTCCCCTGTCATAGGGTGTTGTGGGGATTAGATGAGCTCATGTGGGCAAAGCTCTTAGAACAGGGCCTGGCACAGAGTAAATACCATGAAATGTTAGCCATGATGGCTTTTGTTTCGTCCCATCCTCTATCGGCTCTAGGATAGAGGGGTTGTTATTAACCCCCTTTTGCACCTGGGTAGACTGAGGCTGGAAGAGCCCCAGGGTCTGGTTCTCTGCTGAGAAGGGAGAAGGGGGCAAATGAAGCAGAATCCCAGGTATAGAGAGTATTGCTTGGCCCAAGCTTGGCCCAAGCATCTCTGCCCGCCCCTCCACTCCCTACCGTCCTACCTCCGCCTCCGCACCCCCCCCCCCAACCCCTGTGATGAGAACAGAAATGCCCAGAGAAGGTCTCAGGAGTCCAGCCCAGGGTACACCCGGGCGGGCTGCCTGGAATCAGAAAAGGAGAACTAACATGTTTTAGAAGGAGATCCCCCAACAAGAGAAACCTGGACTTTCCACAGAAGACGTTTCCAGCTGCAAACATGAAATGATTTTCCCCCTTGTCCAGACGGGGGGGCACTGGCCTGTAGAGGTAAGCAACGACTCATCACCCCTCTTTGTTGGAAGTGGGCTCAGCGCTGGGTGATTTCTCTGGCCTCTAATCACAGAGACCACGCCCCCTGCCCTGAATCACTGATTGCGATGGAAAAAACAAAACAAAACAGAAAACAAAACAAAAAACAAAAAACAAAACCAAAATAGAATAAAAGCTCTCATGACCACTTGAGATTCAATTCTGAAGAATCCCACCAGCTGCGCCTTCATTTTTATACGACTCATGACTTCTGGCTCCATTGTTATATGCAGGAGACGGTTGCAGAATTCAAGTTGCTTTGTTGTGTTGTTTTTCTTTCTGCCCCAATGCCGATGCTACAGACTGGTAATGCCTGCCTTGGTGAATCTTGCTGTGTCTAATTGCAGGTCAATGTGACAGTGAGTTCCCCTCCAGGATAAATTGTGGGGAAGGTGCGTGTTCATTACCTCCTGACACAGGAAGAGCGATAGGCACTTTCTTTGTGCTGGACAAAATGAAGCAAGCTCTTTGTCTCAGCTGCAAAGAGGCAACTGCTCAGTGTGGGGAAGGGGTGGGGAGGGCGGAAGAAACACAGCAAAGAGTCTAGTTGATGTGATATTAGCTTAGTGACTAGGTAGGAGCTCTGCCTTGGAGGTCATACAAAGGTGCGCTCAAATCCCCTCTCTGACAGTCTCAAGTAGGAGGTTCTGTGAAATGGGCTGAATTATAATAGGGTCTACTGCATCGATGTTTTGGCAGGTTCAAATAAAATAATGCATGTGAAATACTGAGCACGATATCAGGACACCGTTAGCCCTCCCCCGACCCTGATGGCGGTAGTTATTACCAGTGCCCCTCTCTGTCCTCCGACTGGACGGGAGTGCCACCATCACCACTTTGAAGACGCGGCCAGCCCAGATATGAAGTCTGGAGGAAGCTGACAAGTCACGCACTGGGGCCATCA